ATATTGAAGCAATATTTCCTTCATTTAATCATACACAGTATATATAATTTATGTAGTTTACAATTTATACATTAGGCAATGGCAAATACTGAAAAACAACAATAGTATAGAAAACAATGGTTGGATATCAATAAGATACAAATTTGATAAGCAACAGCTAAAATGTAAACTTTATAAATAAACAGCCAGAAAAAGAACCAAAGCTTTCGAACGACACTGCTGAAGTCCTTTTTAAGTGGCGAGTATAGTCGCCGCCGAATGAACATTCGCTGCCGCATTATGCCAAATGCGCTGAATGCAATATATCGCCGAACGGTTAATGGGCAGCAGAATGCTATACGCACTGACGAAGGCACTGTAGGCGCTCCATAGATTTGGCCCATTATTTGCATTAGGATATTATTAACAATGATTATTAATATACAAATCATGCTGCTCCAGTATGATATGATAAACTATGTAAAATATACACACATTACTGAACATACAAAGTATACAGTAAATAATTAAGCAATTATTCTTCTAAACTTATAATTCATAATTAACAATATAAACATGTAAAAAAAAAAAGAAACCAACAGGAATTAATTCAACAGTCAGTAATAGACACATATACAACTACTGTATAAACATCTTAAATAATTTGTGCAAACCATTTGGAAAATTAGGAATTGCACTAAGTGATGTAAAACTTGTACTAAGTAAAAAAAACTGCTGATTAAAAAGAAATTTAATTATTAATATTACATAGTGTTTATCTGTCATCTTCAAAAAAGAATAATCTACATATACAGTTAATAGTAAATCATCAAACAATTCTGCTTCTATCATAACTCAATAATGAACAATATAAACATTTGATAAAAAAGAAAAAAAAAAAACAAGGAGTAAATTTACCAATCGATAATAGAAAAACATAGGCCTGTAAGTACTGTATATATATTATGGAAAATTCAGAATTGCATAAGTGAAGTAAAATGTGTACTAAGTGAAAATTTAATTGCTGATTAAAATGGAATATATTTATTACAATTACATATTATTTATGCAACTCTATCAATACAATCGTCATTCGTTAATGTAACAAACATTTTCAGAAATTATAAATTGATGTAATTATCTGTTCTCAAGATTAAATAGCAAGCACAGGGGACATCAGTCATGTCACAAACCGTGTGTAAAATACATTAGTACATAAGAATTCCCCTTGTTTTATGTTATCCGAAATAATGACAATATTTATAAATAAATATAAACAGTGAAATCAAATATATAGTACCAGTAGAAACTATAGTAATCATATTTTTATTTTAATTTTCTGTCTTTTTTTTTGAAAAGCATATAATAATAATAATAATAATAATAATAATAATAATAATAATATTAACAATAATAATAATAAACTGATCCTAGGCTTGTTTACTGTTCACAAAACAGATTTTGCAAATTATTATAAGCTTTCTTTATTTTGTGCTTATAAATAATAAACTAATACATTAATCAACATACACAAATGAAACAATTTCTAAAAATATTGCAGTAAATTTCGTTATGATTATCAACGTTTTCCTTTTGAAGAAAATCTCGTAAAAGAAAGCTTGGCTCTAGTAACTGATACAAAGTCAGCTTCCTCCTTCTTTGGCGCACAAAACTTGACACTGCGTACCAAATTACAATTCGTCTCTACAGGGCTGATTGTATGTTGTTTTTTGTAGGTACAAAACAACTTTACACTTCCATAAATTAATTCAGATTCTTGTCAAATTTTGATTGTGAGAAATAATCTGTACGTGTGTACTGTCGCATTTTGTAGAAATTTAATTTTCGCACATTGTAATAATCAACAAAAGCAACAATTGATTTGTCACTCTTATGTTATAGCCTATATTTAGAGTGGCTTATTTTCTTGTATTTGGCGAATTCTATACAACAAATTAAACAAATAACAAAGGCTGTCGCACTTTGTAATAAAATTATAAAATAGCCATACTTTGTTAAGAAATTTGTGGAAGCTATAAGAAACCAAATGCTTAAAATGTTAAAAGCGCGGCTTCTCCGTTGTTACAAAAGGCAACAAAAGGACAAGTTTTTTACAAAGTGCGATAGGTATTAGGCCTACAAAGTGCGAAAATTATTACAAAATGTCACATAGGCCTTACATTAATTTTATTTTTAAAACTTAAATACTACATTTATGAATTAAAGTCGTATAATATATGTAATGTATAACAAAGTGTTAAATACTTCTATGGTAGAGCAAGATAAAAACAAGCCCGCCCAACATTGTCCATCCCACTACCAACCCCACTTTAACATGTATAATGTTATAGTTCATTGTGGGTGGTTTTTGTCCGGGTGGTTATTGTCTAGGGTGGTTTTAGTCCTACATTCAAATGAAATGCAGAAAAAATTTTTTTTTTGTTCAATTGTAAAGAGGACCAAAAATTCAATACTTGTTTAATACCTGCAGTTTTGTATGGAGAATAGTACTGTTTTGTGATTGGTCGGAATGATAGAAGCTTATCAATGCTGCCACACATTGGGCTCAATTTTTTTTCTGATCTCACCAAGAGCGCAGGATTTCCCACACACCAGACTGATCCATCTGGAATGCTCTCCCACTAACCTAATCCCCGATTTATGTATATTTTGCTGGAAAAAAAAATCATCATATTCGAACTGTGCCATTTTAAATTGGCATTGAAAAGGCCCATTCCTACAAATGCAATAAGTATGCCTCTCTAGTTTCGGACATTCTTGGCTCTGGATACAAAGTGCTCTTGAAATTGGATCACATGGGTTTATCTTTGACGATAACGCCCAGCGTCTTAAGCTTCTTCATAAATTTGTCTACAAACCGGTTTCAAAATCTTTAGCAACAATACTTCGAAACTCTCCCTTATATCGTCGTTTAGTATTTTCTGTGCCACAAATGAACCCACATAGACTGATCCGCCTTTCCTTACCCCTTAATCTGTAAATTTTTATTCAAACTGAATAAAATAAATTTTCACCTGAATAATATAAATATAATAATAATAATAATAATATATATATATAATATAAAAAATACATAGTTTATAGGCCTATATAATAAATATATAAAATAATTACAAGAAAATTAATGAAATATATTTTTTTTAATTTTAAACTTTTAAATTCTATTATGTAGGTTTACTTTTCGAGTAACTTTCACTTATATTTATTTTTATACATTTTCTCCTGTCCGTTTTGTAACCCTGTTTTTTGCGAATCTCCCTCTTTGTCTTCCTTGTCCTGTGGACAAGTCTAGGTTCTCTCTGTTCCTTGATTGATTCTTTTTTCTTGATGAGAATTATAAGAAAATAATTATGTGTGGACGTGGTAGAGGAGGAAAAGCTAATGGAAAGGCCAAGAGCCAATCAAGTCGTGCTTGACTTCAGTCCCCTTTTGGTCGTGTTCACAGATTCTTGCGAAAGGGTAACTATGCATTTTGGGTCGATGTTGGTGCCCCAGTCTACATGGCTGCTGTACTCGAGTACGGTACTTGACTGCTGAAATCTTGAAGTTGGGTGGCAATGCTGCACTTGACAACAAGAAGAGTAGAATCTTCCCTGGTCATCTTGTTTCCATCTACAACACTCAGTTGCTTGTAGGAGTTGATAATGAAGTATCTCTGGTTCTTGATGTCAAAGACGTTTGTTTCTGCTTTCCAGATGTTGGTATTTTCCTTATTGAATGTGTGATATTGAATGCTAAGAAGATGAAAACCCCTTGAAGGGAATTCAGAATTGTGAAGAGATACCACAATATCACGTGATCGATAAACGACGCGAGAAAACCAAACGCCCAGGATAATCCCATCACTGTTGAAATCTGTAATAACAAAACATTGAAAACGTATTTAAAGAGTGTAAATGGATTAGTGTTAATGATTAATAATACATAATGAGATCGCACTTTAATCCTAACATTAGAATGGGAACACGCAAATTCGAGTTATAGCCGCCAAAATATACACTTTGTTTATTTTTGAAAGGTAATAGTGTTTCTCAGCTAGTAAAGTCACTCACCCGATGAAGCGAAAGCTGTGAAAAGGGAGAGATTTGTATGACATGGTTTTAACTTAATTTTACATACAAATAAAAAAAAAACCCCCCAAAAAAAACAACACTAACCCGTATATAGATGACCATTTCCTCTGTTAGCTGCTTATATTGGGTCTTATCACTCACAATGGCAGTAGATCTCCTAGCCTCATGAATGCCTCTAATTGTTGCCACGAATAGTATGAGATTTGGTAGAAGAATCACTGCTAATGGAATACCAAACACAAAGAATGATGCAACTTCATCTCGAATCCAACAAACAGAATCATCGCCGTACATCAGGTTTAAACTTGTGCATTCACAAAATGTCATGCCCACAATAATTCCAACATATGCTGCAGGAACTCCCCAACTGTATATAAAGTATGTGACAAATGTCTTTTTCTGAGAGTTCTCACTTCTGGGCGAAGCTCTGAAAACCCGGAAAGTTCGAAAAAATTCAAATGCCATTGCATTCATCCATAAAAAGCATACAAGCCACAAATAATGCAGGATGGCGGCGACTATTTCACAAAATCTTTTCCATTCAGTAAAATATCCTTGAACTAAAGTCAACAGCAAAGCAAAGAACAAAGAGATGGAAATATTTAAGATGATCTTTCCAGAAAGTGTTCTTAGCTTTTCAAAGATAACACGTAGAATTATCGTAATGAGAAGACCAATTAGTGAGAGAATTGTGCCAACGACACTGATGATTAGTAGGGCACCATCATAATTAAAGAATTGGGTTTGTACGATTTTAAATCCAGTCTGATTTAGAAAAGAACACACAACAACGGTGCTGGCGTTTGAGTAATTTGATAAAACAAATTCATTTTCTTCAAAAACTGTTCCTGACCATTCGTGAACTAGAGTGCCATTACTTTGATGTAGGAACAAAGATTCATCCAGTTGAAGCTGCTGACAAACTTTGCATGTCGATATAGAGAAACTACTGCAAATAGATGACTCATTGGCAACCTGATGGACGATCTCCAAAATATATCCTTCATTAGGAACCAGCGTAGAAAAGTTGCCGTTACTTACTGTTCGTGTTGTATTTTCGAAATTTACAGATACTTCATCTGTAAGCAGAAACCTGTCATAGTCACAGAGTAGCTTAGTTGGTGTTGCGTTCGTTGAGCAGTTTTGTTTGAGGGTCACAACGCTTAATTCTGTATCAATAGTTTTGTTGAATACACTAATCGCTAAATCAGATATATCTTGCGCTAACTGACAATCTATTGTTGTTATTAAAATTCTTATATTTGTCATATTTGTATATTTTAAAGTCTTCTTCGAGTAGTTGACACCAAAGGAAATAAGACCTTCTGTAAATATATCTACAGATTTAAAATTATCCTCAACACTTACATATTGATATTCAATATGCATTGATTGTTCCTGCAATTTACATAGACAAAATAGTTTGTTTGGTACCTGCATGGCAGCGCCACCGCAATTGGATGATGTTACAGCTGCAACGCAGTTGAATCCACGGAGTGTAAATCCACTTTTACACTTTACTTGAAGACACTTTTCGGTAAATGGATCATAAACTTCACCAGCAGCACAGCTGACCCCTTCAGTGATGACGTAAGTTTCGTAAGGCGAACGAACACTAACACTACTTTCCAATGAAAAGTCAACTATCATTGTCAATGGTGTTACCCTGAAATCATCCTTAACTGAATTAGTCTTGTTATAACATATATAGAAGTAATCATTGTTACAAACTGCGCAATGTGGGTTCATATAGACACCTCTTTTACCATAAACAATACCCTTGTACTTTGTTCTACAAGCATGAACCACTCTTTCATTAGAGTAGGTTTCATCACATTCTAGTTTTGCTTTTGAATTGCAATTTCTCCTTAAATCCGGTTTACCTTGTGGTGGTCCAAAATGAAAATTATCACAGGCTAAAGCATTGCCTAATTGTTTGTGTATAAGAGAAGGTGGTTTAGTTGTTACTGGTGGTGGATTAGTAGCTCCAGGTTCGTAAACTGTTTCGATTCTTTCGTGAAGTTCTTCACGATGACCTTCATCACGACATGTGAAAGTAATCTCCCACGCAGTCAGCTCAGATATTGGCACACCGTTGCATAGAGCACAATACACATTCTTGTAGATGTTATCGTCTGCATCTGATACAATGATTGTCAAGAGAATGTCATTTAGAGCAGGTTTTTCACATTTACTGATTGTTTCGATATCAACGTTACTGTCGTCTCTGCACAGTCCTATTGTGTAAAATCCATCAGAAAAAATTGAATCCCTTGTCACACATTGTAGCTGACTTGAATATTCCGTTGAAGGAATTAATTCAGAAGAATTACACGCAGACGAGTAGTCATAGCAACAATCTCCATAGTATTCACACGCAGCATCACATCCACATGTATCCCCATCTTGTGGAGGCATTCCACATCGGTTCTTTAACTGACATTGATGTGTTGAAGAACATATGGCAACATCGATACCATACACTGATTTAGTTTCTATAATTATTATAACATTTAAAAGTGAATTTATATTACAGTTAATCATAAAAATAAATAAAAAAAAACTGATCATAAAATAAATTATTATCAGTTACAAGCAACTGTTGACAATATATATAAGTATGACATTCTTATTGTAATGGGGGATTTGAATGTCAAAGTTGGAGACGGAAACGAGGGATATGAAAGTGTGCTTGGTAGGCATGGAATTGGTGTACGGAATGAAAATTTTTGATTACGGTGGCCTTGTAGATAATAGACGATGCAAGGCATTTTCCTGATAGGGGAAATTCTTCTTTCTTTCGGCAGTTGCATGTATTAGATGGTTCTTGTGGTTTGGTGAGAATAATTCAGGGACTGAATGAGGCTGAGCCTCTTGGGCCTCTCTTGAAGTACCATACGAGATTTAAGCTTCATTATTACATATATTTATCTAAAAGGTCTTACGATATTATTTGTTTTATTAAATTTGTACTGAAGCCTTTCATAAAGTGATATAATTTTTAAAATTATGTTTTACAGTACCTCTTTTGTCTTCCCTTCTTCCGTTAATGTGCAAACTTCATTAATTGAAGACTGGAGCACTTTTGGAAATTGATGCAAGCAGGCGGAATTTTAATTTAGTATCCCCCTCTTGAAAATAGTAAGAGACTGAGCCTGGACAACAGATTCATGAAGGACGTTCTATTCTCGGTTAAATAGGTTAGAATTAATGGGGAGGACTATCAGTTATACAATAACGGAGACAGTTGGTGGAGTGGTTCCATCCAAGGCACTATTCAAATTTGATAAGCCCCCAATTTACAATTAAATACACGAAAATTACACGATCTTCTCAAACTATAATTAAGAATAACTTTTAATGGAGACGAGGAATGTAAAGCACTTCTTATGATTAATTTTTTGAACGTGATTTAGTGTCTTCAGAATTCAAATGCTTTGGGGACTCAACCCGCGTACCCCACCGGTCCAGGTTTTTCTCTTGATTCAATGGGGACCCTTAGCAGCTTCACACCAAAGGGCCCAGCATTAAATATTGCACTGGCCACTTTAAATACAGGTCAAAATATTAGGGAGAACGTCCTCCTCATAAATGTGACGTCTGTGTTAGCGGAGAAGTGGACCTAAAACAAAATCCCCACCCCAACAGTGTGAAAGTTCAAATTAATACTCACGATCTGGCCTTGTCGACTGGCCTGACCCAATCTTAATATTTAGTATTAGAATTAGGGCCACAGTCCATGTCTTTGCTGGTGACATATTTCCAAACTACAACAATATAAAAAACGCGATTTTCTTTAAGCAAATTCCTCATAAGCCAAAAAATATACAACAAAATCGGGAAATCACTCTAAAAATACGATTAAAACAATAGATTACTCATTTAAAATGATTGTATAATTTAGCAAATGATGATGAACAAGAAAAATACATTACAAAAACAATCATAATTTAAAAAAAAACAAAAACAAAACAATCAAACAAAAATATTAATGAACAAAGAGAATAGATTGTTAGACTGTCACCTACAATCAGCTGCAGATGGCGTTTTCGTCGACAAGCGCTCACGGGGAGCAGAGATGAGTCCGTCGACCGACGGTCGTAAGACCGTAGGCTACGGCCCAATGTTTTTCCGGATTTTTCCGAATGTCGATGGCGACAACACAATTATTTCATCTAATCTCCTTATTTATTTGCAACAAAGTAATCATTTTTAAATTTACAATTGATGAAAAACATCAAGAATAAATCACATATTCTATATACAATATTTAAAATACGAAAAGATACTGTACAAAAAATGAACAAAGGTACACAAAATAGGCGCAATAATATTATTACATGTGTATAGTTGTATCAAGCAGACTTATGTTATTATAATTATTGTAGTACGTTATTATTCCATGTGTATCTATTGTAAATATTATTACATGTTCATCTTCTAAATAGGCCTATACATAGAAAGCGATTGTAATGTGCAATTAATAGCTCAATTTGTTCAGCTAAACACAGATGGTACAGAATAAAAGAAAAAGCAGAAATTAGATCGAACATAATTATGTATAATAATGGGGTCATTAATGGACCGAATGTCTAATTACGTAAGCTAACACGGTCGAATTGTTTACTGATAATAAAATTCGTGTTAGTTTTACCAATTTTTTTTATTTTACCTCTAAGGAGCTGCGTGTCTAGATTGTAATTTGATTTTCTTTAATTGTGTATCGACCTTGCACGTTCTTCGCTCTGGCAAATCGAATTTTATATTGATGAAATTGCAGTGCAAAGTTTTATAACTTACCACTTAAAAGAGTTTAGCTTTTCGTAACTAACGTCTAATGATATATTAAATGCTTAATGCTGAAAAGAACACTTTCGTATGTCTTCGATTGAGTTGCTTCAGTCGTATTCAGGATATCTGTAATAATGTCTAATGCATTTAATGATCGATGTGCCAGAAGATGTTATTTCTAAAGTTATTAAATTAGCGTAGTGTTTTCTTTGGAAAGCGAAGGATCTTGCATGGTAAAAAGGAGGTATAAATATTCCTGACTTTTTATTACAGTAACATGCCCGAAAAAGTACTCTGTAGATAACTTGCCAAATGGAAGTTACTGTCGTACTACATAAAATTAATCACTCAAATTGCCAAACACTAAGTACTATTTCTCAAAAATACCAAACGTACTGTAACACAATTTCGTACTAAATTTAATACATCTACCGTATTTATTCAAATAAAGGTTCCCGGCGTTTATTGTTGAGCTAGAATAATTTGAATGGGTGTTTATTCGGGGAGAGGCGTTTATATTCGAAGGAGGCATTTTTTTTATTAATTTTTTTGTGTAAAATGGATACCTATATACTCAAATGGATGCTTATTATATACGCACATTAACGCCTATTAAATTCATTGTAAATGTAGAATTACAACAAATAATTACTATTGAAATGTGATCATAAAGACTCATTCATCCCTCAAGGTTAGAAAAAATATAATTCTACTGGAGGAGAAACTGTATGCAACAACGAAGCAGTTATTTATGTATGCTTCAGGATTAGGTTATAAACACAATAAAAAAATAAAATATTATAATACTTTACTGTTATAAACACGGCGTTTATGATTAAAAATAATGTGTTAGTCAATACTCTTCTTAAAATTAATACAAGCTATACTTCCAAAAGTTTAGTTATTGTTGTTACACGGTCATGGTCAGATAATTATTCTGGCCATTGTGTTATCTGCAAAAGTAACAAAATAGAATTACTTGATCATTTCCTCTTTGATTGTGAAAGTTTATCCGCCTCATAAGAAATATATGCTTTACCAATCTGCAAAATGATTTATGTAATATTAATGAATATTTTTGGGATATTTTTGTTGAAGGTTCACAGGAACATCATCTACTTCTGGAAAATCAAGAAAGATAAAGAAATTTGTATGATTTTTGATAAACATTGTAAATCAGTTTTATTTAAGGCCATGGCACATAAACATATTTAATTAATTATTTTGTTTTGGTATATATTGACTTATTGTAAAACGAAGGATGTAAACAGTTGTTTTACTTTTAGTATTAACTTTGTTTTTTGATTTACATTGTTTTATATTGTTTTTATATTGTATTGTCGGGGTCGAACCTCTCTTTTTTTGCTGATAACCGAATTGTTAATCAAGTTAAATTTATAGAATAAGACCAAAAAATTAATAGTCACTACAATAAGCCGTTATTTATTATACGAATATATGCAGTGACCGCATCGTCACGTTGGAATGACTTCTATTGTCAAATTCGTCGTAATTTCGGCAGGCCAGCAGGCCCTGGGCCCTGACTCCCCACTGGCTCCACCGTTTCATACAGATGCAGTCATTGTAAAACAGTACTCCATCGTGAATGTTATTATGTTGTTAATGTTTCGCTACTTCTAATTGACTTTCGGAAAGTGGGTTTTAGGCAAGCTGGGTTTCGGAAAACTGGAATTCATAGATTTTGAGTCGGAAAACTGGGTTTCGGCAAAGGGGACTCGGCAATCTGTCATTCGGCAAACTGGATTTCGACAATCTGGCCCATATCCGGTTTAGGTGTACAGTATTCAATGACCAAGGTAGTAGCTGCGTCTCCTAATAGATATATTGCCCATGGGAGGTGTGATATCAAAATATTATACACTATGAACAATGTTTGCATATACATATTTTTTGTAACAATACCGTAATTCTCCAATGGCCCTATACACTACAGTATGCACATGTAGTATTATAACAATAGTAGGTATATGTCAATCTATGCGCATTTAAAGAAGAAAATGTAAGTGTATATATTGTTAAAATTAAATAAGGAATTGTTTAGATTGGGTCCCTGCAGTGGAATTGCAGCGCTTATATTGTTCTGTCACAGGGAGAAAATTCCCAACTTTTTCGAAGTGTAGGCCTACTGAAAGCATTCTCGTGTACTTAAGCTATTATACACACGAGATAAACGACTTAAGGTTCCATCCGAAGAACAAAGTAATATACCTTTTCGCTAGGCTCTACCCCTTGGATATCGTTGCTAAGGTCCCACAATTACATTGTAAAGTCATATGCACACACGTGCATTTGTGTGACAACACGTGTGTTTGTAGGATATGCACGTACGCATTTCTGGCCTGTCTGTTGTTTTGATTTTTCAGTTGTTAAGTTTCATTTACACTCTGGAGCTAAACCGTTTTAGGTCCTAAGGTGCTAAAGCTTTACTCTCTTTCATCTTCCCACTTTCGCTCTTATCGCCGCAACCAAAAGCAGCTAGATTATTTTGTATTGACTGCTACGATTTGTTAAAACTTTTTGTTCGCACGCACGCACGCCTAAATTTATATTTTATCCGGTCGTCAATAATGGAAACCGTGAAGCAAATATAGTTTAAATTATCCTGCAGGACAGAAATAAATGTTGTTTAAAAAAAAAATTCTAATCACAATTTTGAAAATTCATAGTAATTATAGTTTAAAACCCAATTAATTAGAAATTACTTGTTTATGTACATTCGTCACGAAAAAAATGGAACTTTTATTCATCTTGTGCTTAAGGGTGTCCTAAAATAACCCTGCTACTAATTTATTAATTTAAGGGTATATGTAATGAATGAAATGTAAATGAAAAAAAGAAGATATTCTTAATTAACTAATAGAACACTAACTAAATGTACGTCCGTCACATAATACTAGCTATAAGGTAACTACATTAAAAGGCTAATTTATTCAAGATTAAATAAAGATTTTTTTATAGCAACATTTTCTGTCATATTACAAATATGTTTTATCATAGTCATGCATTTAACTAATTAACTTTGACTTTAATTTAGATGATTAATGAAAAGTGTTTGTATATTTTGATTGCTATTAATCGATTAACTGGGAATGGGATGGGATACTGACTTACTGGACACCATTTTACATTTACTACAATAAGGCTCAGTTTAATAATATTAAATTAATAATAATAATTAAATGAAGGAACTTAATCAAATATTATTAATAATTTTCCTTGTTAATATAAAGTATAATAGTATCCAGTCACATACATTTTATTTTATAAATTCAGGTTGATGTTCATAAATCATCAGTAGTCCTATAAGAAAATGGGTTTTAACCTTTAAAAACATCAGTAATATGTTCATATGATGAATGATGGATGTTCTTTTTCATTTCGAGTAACATTTATTCAATTAATTAATCAAAAATATAATGGTAATACATAAATTAGGCCAACATCAAAATTAATTAATTGGGATCAAAAATAGAACAGAGTTTGTCTCAGTTTGACCCAACAAGACAAATAAATAAATAATCACTAATTGATAAATAATAATAGGACAGTATATAAGTAAGATATAAACTTACAGAGGTAAGAACTTATAAATGGTAGGCCTACAATTATTCATCTGCTTTCTAAAAATATAGATATTATTACAATTTTAAACTTATCATTAGTATCATTCCATAATTTCGGTCCGTATATAGAAATAATAAAATGACTTTTACTCAGTTTTACAAAAGGAATGTGAAGTGACTTAGATTTGCTTTTTTGAATAATAACTATGTGTAGATTTAGAAACGTAAAATAATGCTAATATAGAGGTTGAAAGTTGACCTTTTGTGTATTGAAGCATTTTGAAGTTTAAATGTTTATTATGAATAGAAAGAAATTTGTCAATAAAGGTATCAAAAGAGAATTTTGGGTCACTATTGTAAAGATAATCTATTACAAAAGGAATTCATATTGTTTATAACAAACAAAGAAGAGCATTCCTGGGTTTTCAATTTGTCAAAATCATTGTCAATAAACTGGAAAATGGGCAAATGATCAGTGATATCGGAAACCAGAACACCAGACACTATACTTGATTCAGTTTGGTTAGTGTAGAAGTGGTCTATTAGTGTTACAGTGTTAGTAGTAATGCGAGTTGGTTTGGAAACAGTTGGATAGAATGAATGAAAAAAAATAATGTCTAAGTAAGTATTGCTTACGTTATGATTATGGAATTTAAGCAAATCAATATTAAAATTAGGTTGCAATTCAAAATTCCAATTAGGTTGCATATTTTGTTTTTCATAATAATTGTAGTTATTAATTAATCTATGCATTTAGAGTAACTATTTATATTAGTATCAGGAGGTTTATATACAGTGTGAATAATTATTTTTTTTTTGTATTATTTCAATAAATATAGAATCATTACATTCTTTAAGAAGGGCGAGATCAGTGCGAAGACGAGCATTAAATTCATTGCGAATAAATATTCCCACCCCTCTTCCTATGTTAGATTGTCTATTTCTTGCAAAAAAATAGGTATACTCATGTAAAAACAGAAACGGTTTATTTTAATTTAGCAAGGTCTCCTAGAGCCATATTACTAAAAACTTAATATGAATTGTATTCAGAAGACTTTCAAATACGTCAACTTTGTAAACGAGACTCCGAATGTTTAGATGTAATAAAGATAATTTGAATTTTTTTAGTGAGGTACGCCGGGTGTAAAATTCTGTTATAGTATTTACATTTTAATCAAGTATAGTAGATCTGGTGTTAAGGTGATTAATTAGCATATCAACCTTATCATCATATCTATCATCACTATCAAGGATTAAAAGTAGTTTCAGAAGTGTTACAATTTAGGTCATTACTTTAAAATAATGAAATCTACACAGTTAAACAGTATATGTCATGGAATGGGTTCCCATTGAAAGTAACTAACCATATTCCCCATAACCTTAAACATAATCTATCTAAAACAACACAAACTTCTGCACCTCCTAATGATGATATTAAAATATAGGTAAGACTTTTATATACTAGAGCAAAGGGGGACAATCAATTGTGTACAGGTATATAAAGAAAGTCAAGAGACACCTAGTTAAGGATGTTAAATTCATAACAAT